AAATGATTAGGTTATTTAAAAATTATATCATGTGATCTCAATAATTCTGACTAATATAATTATGTTTTGAACATTTTCATAAATATTTACGAATATAAATTTGTAATTCTGACCAAATATAAAATTTGATCTGTATAATATTTAAATGACCAAATAACAAATGACTTCAAATGATCAGGTGATTCAAAGGTCATTCAGAGATCATTTCAAAATTACCAAATAATTTGGTCATTTGCCATCACTGTTTGAAGGAGATGAGGAAGTTAAGATTTCAGTTAAAAAACTTGACTACAGAATATTGTGGGTCGATTTGATTTGAGTAATAGTTCTTGAAATAAAGCTAAAATTATGAAGCTTTAAATAGAATTCTCCTTTAATAGACAAGAATGAACCTAAAAAAAATATTGATAATTCATGTTTGACTATTGAGGTTTATAATGAAAGTCAGCTTGATTTGAGATGAAAGAATGTGATCAGAGTTTTAACAGATCTGTTTTTTAAAAAATAATCATTTATTAAGCATAGAAATCTAGTATTAAAACTCATAATAGTGAAATTATTTGTAACAGATGCAGTGTCTATGAAATAATTAGATAAATAAAGAGATTTTTTAATTTAATATTCAGGATGGTTGCCACTGTCAATATGATTTACAAAGAAAAATGGTAGCAGATTAAATAACAAATTTTTCTTTTTCTTTTTTTTCATCTTAAAATTAAAAAGGAATAAGACAAGAAAAAACAATGATTGATAGTTTACATCAATACTGTTTTCTGATCCTCTGCAAAATTTTGAATTTGTGATCAATAAAATCTGATTTGCTTCTAACCTTGGGATATATAATACTGAGTCTTCATCGAAAGGGTAAAAGACCGTAATATTAAATTGTTAAATTTTATTCTCTTCATCAAGCCTTGCATGACCTATTGCAGTGTCAATAAAAAATTCACTAGAGGTTTTTTTATGTATTCTGATATGTATAATATGATTGATAACTGCACAGGCATCCTGAAAAAATGGATAGATTTTATTTTTTATTGAGATTTTTTTTTCTTTTTTTTCCTTTCTAATCAATATGAAAAAATCTTTGCAATCTCTTTCTTCTTTTTTAAATCAAAAAGAAATTTTTTTTTTCAAAAAAAAAGTTTAGATGAAAAAAACAGAAAAAAAAATTCTTTTTTTTTTATTTAAAAAAATATCTGTTTTATATTTATTTATTTATTTATTTATTTTTTAAAAAGGAAAAAAAAAGGAAAAAAAGAAAAATAATACCAATCAAATTCTTTTTTTTTTTGATCTAGATTTATTTTTTTACTTATTTATTTATTCAAAAAGAAAAAAAGATAACTTTTTTTTCACACGAAAAGGATCATGTATCCCAATGCGATCACTCGACACGCGATCCATTTCTTGTTTTTGTCTTTTTTTAAAGAAAACCTGTCAAATGAATCAAAATGCGCCCAAAAATCTTTTCGACTCATAAAGCCCCTTAACTTCATATTTCGATCTGGGTAAAGTCTGAACTTCACATATTTCGATCGTCTGTACGAAATACAAAATAAACAAATCAAAAAATTTTTTTTATTTAAAGAACCGCTATCCCTATGCATATGCATATTCATATTCATTAAGCAATAGCAATAGCAATAGCAATAGGTCATAAAGCATATTGCATAAAGCACATAGCTATAAAATCAAACTTCAAAGTTCACGTTGCCGATTCCCTTAACCGAGCAAAAAATATATGAGCAACGATCGTATCACTAAACATACAATTTTAGCGAAAAACATCACAAATTTAGAAAGTATCACAGAAAAAAAAATAGCTTTAATCTCTCTTATATGCCAATTAAATCAAAACTATATGTAGTCCATATACTATTAATCGATTTTTCATAACCTTCATATATGGTTTATATTAAAATTGATTTTTATAAGAAGTTTCCTAATAAATTATCATGATTCCATAACTTCTTTGATTTTTCTTTCAAATTCTGCGAAAATATTTCAAATAAGTGTCTTTTCACGTGATACCTTTCTTTTTTTTTTATCATAAAAAGATTCACACTTGGAGAACTTTGGGAATTATTCGCTTATTAATAGATTTATCGTAAGTATTTTCAAAAATGTGAGATATTCCGTTATTCTTAAAGTTATGCATCTATTCAAAACTTTAATATCATTCAAATGCTACCAAATAAAAAGTTATCAAATTTTAAAAATTTTCGGATTTTTAGTAGAAAAATGCCTCTAATTTCAAAATGTGCTCGTATACGGGCCCAAACATTAGATGCAAAGAAAAATGATAAAATAAATGAAATTGTGATGGATTGGAAAAGTACGTTCTCAAAGATGTAATTCAAAAAAGGAAGTACAGGAATACATATTTGGCGAGGACCAGGCTTCACATCTCTTTAAGCAAATGTTTGAAAATAATACATTCAGTAATCTAATGCTAGTTATTCTAATGTTAGAAATTCTTGTACCATTTTGTCAAATACCCTGTGTAAATTCCTATCAAATTCTTCGATTAAAAATATTTATAAAAAAATCTGTATTATAAATAAATTTTAGGGACTACATATAGATCCCACCCTAACGTGATGTGTACATCCAAAGCTTTACGGTCCAAATTTAAAAGACACCATAATGGAATTTTGGTTGCCTATAACTAATTCAGATTTACTAGCAAATCTCGGACGAATCAAAAATAATAAAAGTAAGATTTTTAGGCTTAGTTCTTGCAAAAGAAGTGGTTATGTACGAATGGATATTAAGATTAATGATATTCGCACACAAACCAGTGTCCATATATTAACTGCACAAGCATTCATTCCCAACCTAAAAAATAAAGCCTTATATCAATCATATTAATGCTGATAATTTGGTATGGGTAACTTCGAAAAAAAATGTTAAACGTAAGGCATTCCCGCAGAAAACGTTAGATGGGAATGTTGTTCGATTTAGAATATTATCCCGCTGGTAATACACTGAAAATAGCATTTCGAAGGAAACGAAATACCGCTGGTGATTGGTGTTGGATTTATTATGAAGATTAGGCCGGGCAAAAATTTTTTTTAGATTCTCGTGACCCGACCGCCTCAATTTTTACAAAAACTCATGATTTTTTTTTATAGTAAAATTTTTTATCACGAGACTTTATATAAATGAAAAATCGTAATAGCATACACTTTATTATAAAAAATTTATCATACTATTTTCGTGATTTTTTTGTTATTTGAAACTTGATAATCTTAGCACGTTTTTTTTTGTCAGAAACTGTCATATAACACTCTCTACAATAATAGTAATATCCTTCATTTACCTTACTATTTGAGTAATACAAAACATAATATAAAATACATATAAAAAAAATTTATAATAAAAAAAAACCCCCGGGTGACCGTGTCAATTTTAAAATTTTATGTCACGAGAATCCAAAATTTTTTTTTGCCCGGCCTTACATAGAACCAGATCTCGATGAATAATGGAAAGAAATAGAACCTGATTCAACAAAATTTGGAGTTTCATCCCTAGGCAGAGTTCATTTACCGAGTGGTGTAAATCATTATAGGCTATTACCGAATTGGCCAAGTTAACAAACGGGTTCATCGATTGCAAAGAATTTGTGAGTCATATTGACGGGGTACTACCAACAACAACGTGTATAATCTCATGTTATAAAATTATATAAATATAAAATAAGAATAAATCCTAAATCTATTGAAATAAACTCGGAATTTTTTTTGTTTTAAATACTTCTTACATTATAAATATAGTGTACATTTGGTTTATGCTACACAATAAGCGATATATATATATATAAAAGGTGTTCAGTTTATATTCACATTGCATATATTCGATTTTATTTATATACGTTCCGTATAATAAACTAACAACAATAATAAAAATTTCATTTTAAAATATAAAAAATAAAATTAAGTTCGCTCTTTTAAGAGTTTTCTTTTTCTTTTTTTTATTTTTACATGAATTTTAAACAGAAAGGTTTATCGGGTTAGATCCATACTCGAAACACTATAATCGGTCACCAAGATAGGTTTCTAAGAAGATATCAAGTAGATAATAAATCTTTTAAGAAGAATAATATATCGTTCAAGAAAGAATGATAACTTAACGTTCTTAATAATTCCCTTGTATGTATGCTTTGACAAATGCCTCTATAAGCTCCGAATTATCACTTTTTAGATTCTGCAAAATACAAGACATTTTCTAAAAATTTGAGAATATGCATTTTGTGTAGTTTTATTTATTTTTATACGAACTTTACTTTTATACGTGAAGAAATACTACCTTTGTATTCTTGACTAACAGAATGCTCACAAAGAAATATTCATTTAAAAAAGGTAAGTGTACTCCAATTTTTTCTTAAAAAGCATTGTCGTAAAAGTGATGAAATTCTTCCACAAGCTGATGGATAAAGGCGAAATTATTTGAGTCGAGTCGAGTTAATTTAAGAATCAACTCTCTTTTTTCAAGTCAAATTTTATAAAAATTTTAACTCGACTTGTTTCGAGTAAAATAAATTTTTACTCAACTCGACTCGATTTAAACTCAAATTTATTCAAGTCAGATTGAGTTTTGAGTCAAATTCGAGTTAAGATATCTAACTTAGATTTATTATAATTGTTCAAATTCATTTAAAATAAGTAATAATTATTTCACTGTGATATCAATGATTTTCGTGAAATTCATACAAATAATACTCTCATATATATATAACCCAAATGAAACTTTATTAATTTTTTTAAAGATCAAAATAAATTACCGATCGGTCAAAAAACAATTATCGTGAAATGTAAAATATGTTTTTCTAAATTGCCTAAGTGTTACTAAATTAAAGACTTCTTATTCAGAATAAATGTTATGGTAAATAAATTCTATCAATAAATTACTCTACACTAATAAAAATGATAAAAAAATAAGTTAAAAATAAAGATAATATTATAGAGTGATAGGAAGAGCAGCAATCGCAGAATCAATTAGGTAGGGGTAGGAATTATATGTGTTGCAATTGCGCAAGCTAGATATGGTCCTAGATCAGGTTGTCCGTCAAATGTTTCTACAACAGCAACATTAATTTGATATTCAAAAGGTAATTGTGGTGTCAGAAACTTAAATTTTTTAGTAAATGGAGTATTAGCTTCAATTGAACACTCTGTTCCTTCACAAATACTTTCAAGATGATGATCGCCTACGATTTGTTTAGATGCAAGATCGTTATAATAAACAAGAATTGCGGTATTTTCTGTGATTTTTGTAGGTATAGTTCCAGAAACCTTAAAAGTTGCGAGTTTTCCGGAGACGACTGGATCAGGATGAACTTTAACAGAGAGTAGGGGTGGTGAAAATCTATCATTTTCACATTTTTTAAATTTTGTTTTTGCATTGGCTGTGGAAAACACAACCATTAAAATTAATGCAAAAATAAATGTTCGGTTCATGATTACTATTTTCTTTTCAAAGGTATGTTTTAATTTTTAATCAAGTTTTTTTTTCAGACCTAGTTGAGAATCAGAGCCTTTTTATAAAGAAATAAAATATTCGATTCCAATAATCAATCCTTTTGTTCTAAAAGATAATCTAATAAATTTCTATTTTGGATTACTTTTTGTGTGATGATCATATATTTACTTTCGTTCTATTTTGAAGAGTAAAAAGTAATGATATAAATGAGAATAAATTTTTTTTTGATTGTCCAGTTAGGATGTAGGGATTGTATTAATAATCGCAAATCGAATCAGAATCGTTAAATAAGCAAACCACTTAATTTGATTTGAGAAGAATAATTGCGAAATGATCAATAATAATATTAATAAACAAAACAACCCTAATAACAAAATTGATATGTAAAGCAAACTCAAATAGATAAATCGAAATTGCGGACAAATAAAAAAAAAATAAAAATAAAGATAAACTAAAAAAAAATAACACCGCGTACTTCAAGTTGGAAGAGGATTTAATTTAATAATTAATAATTTTAAAGAATAATTAAATCAGAATCGGTATATCGCTGCGGCCCAAAGCGAAAGAACCAAAAAAAGTAAAAAAAATTAAACTAATAAATGAATATTTTTAAATTTTCTTATTTTGTTCTGATAGAAGATGGGCTGTTTCGAAATGATGTTAACAGAAGTTTTCTTTTGACCAATTTCCTTTTTAGGATGATGATCCCTCATATGCTGCTACAATAAATGTCGATTTAAAATCTGTTTTTAATAAAATTTTTTTTTCTCCATTAATAGTAACATAATAAAGTTAAATTGTTCCAAATATATTTCTTTTACAAATATAAATTATTAAAAGAATTAGAAGGTAATAAACCATTAAATTTTAAATGAATATATTATCAAAATCATTTCTTACTAGAATCAGTTTAATTGCAAATATTTTGTAGGTAAGGTTTATTATAGTAGATATTTAAGCATTAACCTGATACAATATAACTTATCGCTTTTTTATTTCAATGATTACAATGAAGTTTCGAGCGTCAAAACAATTTTTACATTTAAAAAAACAAAATTATTTTTACTAAATTTATTAACAAATTTGAAACTGACTCAGTTTTATTATGATGATAAATACAACAATAACTATTATTTATTGATCAATACTATAATTCGTTAACTTTAATACATTATTATATTATAGCCAGTCTCTACATTAAGAGAAATATATAGCAATAAATATTTATCTATTTGTTTAATTAGACAATAATATTAAATAACTAATTTTTGATTTTGATTTAAAAAAAAATTAATGGATTTATGATACTTCAAAGTTTAATTAAACTTTTATTTAAAAGTTTCGGATTTTTTAGTAGAAAAATGCTTCTAATTTCAAAATTTGCCCATATACAAGGCCAAAATTATATGCAAAGAAAAATGATAAAATAAATGAAATTGTGATGGATTGGAAAAGTATGTTCTCAAAGATGTAATTCAAAAAAGGAAGTACAGGAATACATATTTGGCGAGGACCAGGCTTCACATCTCTTTAAGCAAATGTTTGAAAATAATACATTCAGTAATCTAATGCTAGTTATTCTAATGTTAGAAATTCTTGTACCATTTTGTCAAATACCCTGTGTAAATTCCTATCAAATTCTTCGATTAAAAATATTTATAAAAAAATCTGTATTATAAATAAAGTTTAGGGACTACATATAGATTCCACCCTAACGTGATGTGTACATCATCCAAAGCTTTACGATCTAAATTTAAAAGACACCATGATGGAAGTTTGGCTATAACTCAGATTTACTAGCAAATCTCGGAAATAATAAAGGTAAGATTTTTAGCTTAGTGCTTGCAAAAGAAGAGGTTATGTACGAATAGATATAAAGATTAATGATATTTGCACACAAACTAGTGTCCATATATGGGGTGAGTACTAGGAAAAATTAAAAAATTTTTCAAAAAAATTGTTAAGTAAAATTAAATCTATCATCTTATCTGATCCAGAACTTTCATTATTTAAAAAAATAATTTTTTGATGATTTGGCTCCTTTTCCCAGCACTCGCCCCATATTAATTGTACAAGCATTCATTCCCAACCTAAAAAATAAAGTCTATGTCAACTTCAAAAAAAAATGTTAAACGTAAGGTAATTCCGCAGAAAACGTTAGATGGGAATGTTGTTCGATTTAGAATATTATCCACCTCGCTGGTAATACACTGAAAATAGCATTTCGAAATGCTGTAGCAGAAAACGAAATACCGCTGGTAGCTGGTGTTGGATTTATTATGAAGATTACATAGAGCCAGATTTCGATGAATAATGGAAAGAAATAGAGCTTGATTCAACGAAATTTGGAGTTTCATCCCTAGGCAGAGTTCATTTACCGAGTGTTGTAATCACCCAAGGATCATTATAGACTATTACCGAATTGACCGAGTTAACAAACGGGTTCATCACTTGGTAGTAAAGAATATGTGAGTCATATTGACGGGTTCTACCAACTACAACGTGTCTAATCTCGAATGTTGTTCACAGAAAAAACTCATAATTTGCAATGCGTCTCATGCTTCGTACTAATCAACATGCAGTCAAATAGATTTTCGATGGTACGTACATTCAAAGAATTTTCATCCTTAACGTGCAACAAGATTAATAGCCAAAATATCATTTCAATATGTCGAGGACTTCAGGCGGAGGATATCGTTGAGAATATGTAGATACAAAAAATCACACGATAATTACGACTAACATTGATGATGGATCTAATCCGAAAAATATTATTTCCTGATTAGCAATAATCCTCGATTCGTTTTAACTTGTAGATAATTTGAATATAACGGAAAGTTGAAATATTTGTTAGTTTCGCTTTACTTATGAAAAACGTATAAAAGGATTAATTAATCAATCTCCCCTTATTTTTTTTTTGTAGCAAAACCACGATCTACTAATCGAATTTCGGTGAGTCTGGCATAATTGTTTCGAATTATGAACTTGCGAAAGGAAGTTGGAAAAGTCATTAGAATGTAATTGTGGAATGGTAACAATAAAGATAAAAGGAGCTAAGCGCTTGTGCTTTAGCCCATATCAGATAACGATTAGTAATGAAAATCGAGATCTCCCACAAAAGCCGCGCAAAATGACCCACGGTCTATTCTATTAATAGATTTTGAAAAATAAACTATAGCAAATCGGCTTATAGTTTTAAGAAATGTTTCTTCCTAGAATGAACGAAAATTTCATTTAATCATTCTACATTTCATCATGTTGCATTAAAGAATGCCTTGCAAATTCAATACAAATCCGGGAAGAACGCGTGAATTAATTTGAGAGGGATTATCGAATTCATGCCAAACGATATTATTATTAACATCACGTTCATAAATTCTCACTTTGCGAGCAAAAGGTTCGATCGATAGATTAGCATAAAACATTAATATCAAAGATATATCCACCTCAGCTCCATTACCAATTCATCGTAACATTTTCTCATGGACTTGCTGAGGTGAATTACATGTTGAACATAATTTTACGATACAACTCGAAAAAAAAACCATTTTTTTCTGTCACTTGAAAGAGCATTCCACCTACAATGATAAAAAGTAGAAATTAAAACATGGTGCGAACATACAAATTAACTTTCCATTTGATAATGTTCAGATTAAGAACAACCGAAGCATCATGACCTAAAATATCATCATTAGGCTTTATATATCCTCCCTAAAATAATTAAAAAGACGTAATATAGCAACATGAACTGAATATAATGCTTGCATATCATACCGAGGAACCACCAAAGTGCCCAACTAAGTCGGAATGAGCCAAGTACTAGATAACAAATTTTTTTTTTAAACGATATTAATACACGAAAGCAACGTTTCAACTATTTCGACTCGTCAATCAAGTTACATACGAAAACTGGCAATAATATTTCGATAAGGTTCATCCGAAAGTGAGGGTTTGCGTGCACAATTTCATAAAAGCGTTGGTGATTACAATGTGGAAATAATAACCCGTGAAAAGTCGGAATACATTTCAATAAATTATTAAGATAATAGACGAAAACCAAAAATTTAGTGTATGTTCTAGATCTTTATCCTTGTTTAAAATAATAAATGTTGTTCTTTATTTATAACATTGTATTTCTTAATCTTAATATAAAGCCTCATGAAAATACTAGTTATAATAAACTTAATGAAAAAGTCCTATATAAACAAAGAACTCTTTAAAATAACTCGTTTAAAAATAGTTTTTAAATGAAGCTTCAATCGGAATAATAAATCACGTGATTTTAATTTTATTTTGCCAAACTAAAATTTCAATTATTCGAAAAATCAAATTAAATTTAACCAAAAAGGAATTTGATATTTCAGCAATTCTTTTTTCTTATTCCATCAATGAATAGACGTAATGGTCGGTGAGTTGCTTTAACGAGTGAGAATCTTCGCTAGTAACCTCATTATCCAAAAATTTATAATCCCTTATTACGATGGAGTCATTTTTATTATTACTTCCTTTGGTTCTATAATCATCATTAGATTTCGAGAAAACCGTCATCGCACTCTCGACATTCTTTGAAGCTTTTGCATGCGTCGCAGACTTATCAATTAAATTAACCAAGTTCCCCATATTAGCATTTGTGTTGCCTTCAGGATCGTCGTTAACTTTTCCGATCAAGACGAAGTGATGATTGTTCTTTTCAATTTCTTCGTATTCTCTCATCAAATGTTCTTTGTTTGAACCGTCGTTACTTTCCCGAGATTTCCCTTCAAACAAAGAAAAAGGACTATCGAAATGTACAACCCGATTTCTTATTTCATCAGTGACTTCGTCAAGAATTATGTCAATTCCCCGGGAAACAGGTAAATTTCTTTTGATTCTTGATCTCGCAGCGGAGTAAGTTTGTAAGTCATCGCATGAATTATCCTCGTGAGCTCCATTAATAATCTTTACTCCATTCATGTTCGTTTCCACATCAATGATCTTA